TCCAAAGAGCTGGGAGTGTCTTTCAGGAGACAGGGGGATGAAAACAAACACCAGCAAAACACCAGCAACAACAAACACCAACAACACAAATGTCAATGGAAATCTGCATCCAAGTGCCTGCAAAACTACAAAATCTCAATGGAAATCTCAAATTCCTAAAGGAAATCTGCATCCAAAGACCTTCAAAACCCAAAATCTCAATGGAAATCTACAATTCCCAAAGGAAATCTGCATCCAAAGACCTTCAAAAACCAACAAAAATCAATGGAAATCTCCATTTCCCAAAGGAAATCTGCATCCAAAGCCCTTCAAAAACCACAAAAATCAATGGAAATCTCCAAGTCCCAAAGGAAATCTGCATCCAAAGACCTTCAAAAGCCACAAAATCTCAATTCTAATCTCAAATTACTAAAGGAAATCTACATCCAAAGACCTTCAAAACCCAAAATCTCAATGGAAATCTACAATTCCCAAAGGAAATCTGCATCCAAAGACCTTCAAAAAGCAAAAGAAATCAATGGAAATCTCCATTTCCCAAGGGACATCTGCATCCAAAGCCCTTCAAAAACCAAGAAAAATCAATGGAAATCTCCATTTCCCAAAGGACATCTGCATCCAAAGCCCTTCAAAAACAAAAAAAATCAATGGAAATCTCCAATTCCCAAAGGTCCCAAAGGAAATCTGCATCCAAAGACCTTCAAACTCCAAAAAAAATCTTTGCTGCCACTGGAAATCTGCATCCAAAGATCTAAAAAATCAGTAAGCCAGAGAGTAAAAATAACAATATATAACAATAAAAAAATCACCAAAAAAACTATCCCTCCCAAAAAAAAGACATTATTCTGGGGGCCTTTATTAATCAGTGCAGGAAAAAAATGTCACTATTCTAGGGGAGTTGATTAATCAGAGGACCACATTAGTTGGTTGGGAATCAATGCCATGGCTGACTATGAGATCTCAGATTGCCACTCGAAAGAGCGAGCACCGACTTCCAGCAACTCCAAAGCCTGTGAGCTGGCAATTGCAACATTTAAGATGCATACATTTTTTCATATTTTCTCTATGCACTTGGACTCAACCCCACATTCTGGCTCAACATCCAAGTGGAAAATGGTCCCCTGGACGGGTTCTCCGCTTCGATTGTAGTGTCGGGTGGGCTCCTGGTGAATCGAAACGCTGACCTGCCAAACATGTCTGGGTCTGGCCTTCTTCAATCGCAAGTGCCGGTGCTGGATGTAATCCCTGGGCCTGTTTCGTGCTGCATCTCCTTGTAGCATTGGCCCATGTCCTGGATAAATTCGCTCGGGCCTGAAGCTGTGAAGGAGCTCCAGGGAAGACATGTATGCTTCCAAATCCTGGACGATAACAGTGCCAGTGCCAAGAATGTGATCTCCGGTGAAAAGCGCCTTCTCCTCTTCAAGCCAGAAGCATACATGATCGTTTGCATGGCCTGGGGTGTGAATAGCCTTCAACGTGGAACCATGTAGTTTCAAAACCTCTCCATTCTTTAGAGGGCGAAATCTGGTTTGCCTGCATTTGCCCAAGGTTTGGGCAGGGTCTGTTGCATCCTCCGCCGTGCCCAACTGCCCAAACGACAGCCCACTGGCTGGCTGGCATCGCCAAACTTGAAGATCTGGAAACCTTTGCACCAAATCTGGCAGGCCCCCAATATGATCCACATGAGTGTGTGTTAGTATCACATCAGTTATCTCGCAGTCCTCCCCATGCAAGACTTGCACGAGGCTTTCAACGAACTCAGCTCTTCCCTCCCCAGTGTCCACCAACACTCTTTTTCTGCCGCGCCCAATGAGGTAGCAGTTTGTGCCTTGCAGGGTGTAGGGCCCAGGATTCAGACCCAAAATCACCATCACCTGGTCGGAGAGCTTCGCAACGCTCGGTAGCCCCTCCAACTGCTGACGCCCATGTTTGAAGTGAGCCGCCAAGTTCACATCCATGGCTACGCCGCAGCAAAGTGCGCTAAGGATCTGTAGGTAGTGCACCGTCAAAAACAAGATGGGCACACACGCACCCGAAAACAAGCGGCCAAACAATGTTTGACACTCTTGTTGGACACTCTGGGACACTCTTGTAGGACGGACGCTCTTGCAGGGCACTCTCTTGTCGGACACTCTGTGGGACACTCTTGTAAGGCCTCTTCTTGGACACTCTTGTAGGGCACTCTGGTGGCACTGTCTTGTGTGGGACACTCTTGTTTAGGACGCTCCAGTGATCTCTAGTGAAGTGACTCTTGGTGGTAGAGCCTTGTGTGGGACATGCTTATGAAACACTCTTGTAGGACACGTTCGACACTCTTGTGGGACACTCTTGTGGCACACACGCTTGTAGGGAACTCTCTTGTGGTGCACTCTTGTGGGACACTTTTGTAGGGCACTCTTCCGTGTCGTGGGGCGTTCTTTTAGGGCACTCTCTTGTTTTGCACTCTGGTGGCAAAGTCTTGTGTGGGACACTCTTGCCACTCTCTTGTAGGACGCTCTTGTAGGGCACTCTCTTCGTGTGGGACACACTTGTACACTCTTTGGCAACCACAAGCCGCTCACCAGCGACACGCCGCGTTTACACAGGCATGATCTCCTTCCCCCAATGCGTGCTGCGGGGACATGGTGCCAAGCCAACATTTGCGCAGCATGTGTTTCTGAGCACACTCACATCCACCAAAATCGCAGTTCAGAGACTTGTCACGAAAGCACAGCTTCGAGGCAACAGCCTGAGTGCGACATCCAGCACTTCCAACCGACCACCCGGCGAGCGCCAATCTCAATGGCACAGCGACGGATACTGAGGATCTCACGAAATGCTGCACGCGCGCGGGAAGAAAAAATACTCCACACTTCAACATGTGACGTTTCTACTTTCTACATTTTCTACACTATTTCACACGAATCTGACACTTGAGGCTTCCATCCAAAATAAATATCTTCCAAAAGCTTCCCCCAACGGCACGGACCTTGTCGACATTCGAAAACATGCCGACGGTTGCGAAGGGTTGCGAACACAATAGGAATCCTTCGCGACGCGAAAAAGCCTCCACCATCCCGAATCCAAAGACTTGGGAGTCGGTCCCACGGCGACCCCGAAACTGTCTGTGTTATTTTGTGGATATCCTGTTTAAGTCGATGTCTATTTGATGCACCCCTTGGGAGCATAAAAGTTTGGGGGGGGCCAGGTATATAATATATATAGTTATATATATATAGTTATATACGTGTCATTACGCGTCAATGTTGTGATGCACTCGATTTCAGGCGCGCGTTTTTGAGGACACATGGTTGTTTGGTTCGCGCGTTCCGTGAACCTCCACTTCTTGGCTTATAGAATGGGTTCCAGTTAGACGTGACGTTGCTGTGAGGACTTGTTTCGCTGTTGGTTCTGCAAACGGAGAACCCAGAGTCTAGTTCTCCTCGAAAGGCTTTGGAACGTGCTTCATGGAAGCTATGAATGAAGCAATGGAGAGCACGTCCGTGAAGGTGAAGATCATACTAATAAGAAGAATAAGGAGGTTTGCAGTGGCCGACTGTGAGACTGTTGCTTCGAGCTAGTTTTTCGATGCAATGTCAAACCTATGGGCCTATGGGACTTGATCTCGCAAAGGAGCTCGCTCATGCATGCTGGCTGCTGGCAGTAAAAACAAGGGCTAGGTGCTTGTATGATACAGAATCACTTGAACAAGTTGAACACCCAAACACCAACAAAAGAATTCCCCAAGTCGCTGCCAGGCCGGAGAAAAAACAATGATTGACAACCAAACTTGACAAACCAAGGTCTCACAATCCAACTTGGCATTTTGGTCTCAAAACCTAAGAGTCTAGAGTTTTGAAAGTTCGCGTTTGCTGGATCCTCTCTGGTGTCGGAACCGGTGCCGCTCACTGATCAACCTGTGCTTCTTCTTTTGGGGCCTGGCTTGTGGCCTGTGTGGTTGCCTGCTGGTGTGTCTGTGGTGCTGAACGATTCTTGGACCCCATAATCTACTGGAGAGAAACCCAAATTCTTTTTCAACATTATCGCTCCACGCAGGGCTGGAAGAAACCCAGGTATGCCCTGTGCCTGGGTCATGCAAATGGTCTGGTTGCACCATCCAGCGGAAAGGGTCATGATTTCAACATGAACATCGGACCAGCTGAATCGGGTGCTCTTGGTTGTGCGGTGGTTAGGAAGAACTGAACTGCAGTACTTGCAACCTTACACAACCTCCATTGAGAAAAGAACTGCAACTTGGACTCCACTTCTGAACGAGATCTTTCCAATGATCCTTCCCACAGACTTGCGGCGTATTATTTCTTCCACTTCAACCATGGCAAATGGATGCCGCTGCAACTGATAGCAGCGACGAAAAGAACTCTTGGCTTGAACAAACCACCATATGCATCCATATGCCATATGCCGCTTCGCCGGCATGATTCTCCAAGAGCGGCGGGGCCATGTTCCGTGGGCCAAAAGTGGTTGGAACGTCGGGCGGGTGGGTGGGTGGATATTTATTTCCGTCCTGAAGTCCTGCTTCGATGGGCTGCCAGTCGATCTTCGATCCAAAGCGTGGCAGGTCTGACCCCAGGCGATTCCTCACATACGATTGATGCTCCTCATCACGATTCACGCTTGGCACGGGCAACCAGACTCTGCAAAACACACCGTTCGTCCGCGAGAGCTTGTGCACAATTTTGCTGTGAGACCACTTCCCAGTCTTCTTTGACTTCAGGTCCCTCAAATTCACAAAGTTTGCCAAGTGCTTGCTGAGCTGAGTGTTGTAGCCTCACACTCTGGGAGTCTGAAGCACACAAATGGGCCCAGTTTGGGGATTGTATTGTGGGTTGATGGGAGTAGTGGGGTCACCAGCGGTCATCCTGCTAAACAAGTCAAGGAGCCTTATCAAGGCTTCCATCTCAACACTTGGGTCCTGCAGCTTTTCCTCCAAATCACAGCTTGATCCTTGGGGCTGCCCACAAACGACGGCCGCGCGGAGGAGTTCCAAAAAGGCTTCTGCCGCTTCATCGACCTCTAGCAGCAGTTCTCCTTTGCGAAAAGAACGTCCCTTGGACACTCGAGTCCAAAAAACTTTCTTTTCCTTCAAGGCTGGATCTGTCTCCAAAAGCTGTGGCAGTTGGAATGCCAAAGAAACCACAGCAGGGGGGAGCCTGTGGCAAAACGAAGCCGTAGTCCTGAGATTTGTTCAAACACTGGAAACATGTTGCGGTAAAGGTACTTGTGAACAACTTAAAAGAATCTCCAACATCAGCTGCTGGGAGTCCAAGAGCAACGTGGCATTTGGTTTATCACCATACGACTGCAGTAGTTCTGCACCCTGTGGAACCAACTGGCCCAAGTTCATGACAAAATCACCTGAGACGGGCGAAATGTGTGTTGTAAAACATTGCAAAACACTGGTGATACCTAGGCATGAGGAGATTGATCAAAATATCATTGCGTCTCCCTTATCCCTCGCATCAATTGGCTGCTCTGGCAATGGCTTCGAACGCAGGATTTTGTCTACCAAGCAAGGAACTCGCGGTTTCGCCTTCCAGCCCATAGCGCACACAAACCTGTCAGGGTTTGGACACTCTGGTTTTGCCAAAGCAAACTAGATGCGAATGTGAGATGGTGGTATGCAAATCTTTCCTGCGCTTGAGCCCCCGCCTAGCCTCTGATGACGTGCCGTGGTTTAGAAGATCTGCCCAAGGAACTAAGCAGCGCTGGCTTTGAAGTGAATACGCGCCTAGCATTGTTAACCCAAACTGAAACCGCATTGTTGACATGTCCAAAGCACCTCTCTCTCTCTCTCTAGGTCTCTCAAGCACTCTTGGATTGCCACAAATGCACGCAGGCGCCGCAACAGGCGCCGTGACAAGACCACAACGCACTCGATCCTTCTGGAGACACACACACACACACACGTGCGTCTCCAAGTGTGCCACACAACAACTGGCCGTCGGCTGAACTGGGTCGAGGGACGGCTGGAGACGATACAGCGCGCCCAAAGAAAGTCCTCACGACTGGTCACAATATCTGACAATGGAACCTCTGTCATGGCCAGAAGAACGTTTTCTCATCACTTGCTACTTGTTGAAAGTGAAGGACACCCCTGCAAGCCGTGCAAACTCAAAAGCTCCTCCCAAGTCAGCGGCAGCTTGCCAACGTAGCTCTTCAACAAAGCAAACTCTAGTCCCAAATTGTGCCTGGAAGGGAGGAGGGTTCCAACACTTTATGCGATTAGTAAGGGGAACCGTTGAACATGCCCAGTATTGCGGTGACTTCCACCGTGCGCGCGGTTTCTTTTTTCTCCGGGCCTTTTGGCTCGGACTTGCCGTTCCAGGTGGCTTCCCTTGATGGTTGAATGCAACCAGTGATCATCTGGCCAACACACCGGCAAACTTGAGAGCTTCTTGGGCAACACATGGAAGTAAGGCGCGTAGAAACTGTTGCAATGAGCGCCAGCGGCTCCTTCATGCAGAAGGAAGGCTGTGAGCAACACAAGTCCCGGTGCCGCCGTGAACTCCTGGAGGCTGCGGCACGCCGGAGCTGCTACATGACGGCACGAGTGCCGTTTACACCCCAGTTGTGCCTGCGGTCGCTCCAAAGGAAATAACATAATATATATATATATAATATGTCACCTGTGACCCCTATGCAATGTGGCTGACTCAACTTGTGAAGGGGAGAGAGTACCATGCATCTATCTAGAGCAATTGCTACTGAAAGGGGTTGGATAGAAATACCATGAATGACCTCATGTTGGAATCATTCCCGGGATATTTAGCTTTGTCATGGTTGAGAACGAACTGAAACCTAAGGCCTATCAAAAGCACACACGCACATGAGATAAACTGGTGCAACATGACCTCTTCTCGCACAAAATCAGCAAAATAATTCAGAACACTTCTCTTCTGAGCAGCAATAGCCCAGGAGTGTCACTGCCCCCGCCCCTTCTCAAAAGCTAGTGGCTTCGAGTGCTCCTCTGCTGCCATACGCAACTCATGACCAAAGGCCATTGAACCTTCTGCCAGCTTTTCACCTTGGATTCAACAAATACTTGAGCTGGAGAGGGCGTCGGGCATTTTTTGCTTAGCCTCAATCCGCCCCAGAAAAAATATCGAACACATCCCAACACAGTATGCCTGAACATGTTACAATACCGGTCCAAGTAGTCCAAGTCTCTAATCAAAAGTTTCGGTGGTAAGCGGCACAACTCACCGGCCAGATCCTTGCTGGCGAATGCGCCTCGTCCACGGTCACCCTTGTGGATGCCCACGGCTGGGTGTACGAAGCCGCCATGCTCGCGGACCCAACTCCTTGGAACTTGCATTCCAGGTGTGCTGAAGGTGCCCCCGGACAAGGCGGAATCAACCCTGTGAAACCAGCAAAACCTTTGCACAAAACATAAACACCGTTTATATAACACTCCAAAAAACGGCATGTCTCCCACCTTGACGCTGTGGACATTGTGGCTTTCGGCAATGTTGCGCAAGTTACTTGAAACCAGCAGCAGCATTCAAAACATCCACCCCCTCGCGCACCTTTACGAACAGTTCTTGACTCAGCGAGCGTGCATCCTACACATGAACCAGTCACAAGATGTCACAAAAAGAACTTGCAATTGAAAGCGGCTGAGGAGATTTGTTGCACCATTCCGCAACCAAAGAGCCATGAACATATTTCCCCAAAAGGTAGTAAACATTGCATGGGTCTTTCCCAACGCTTCGCCGCAAACGAGCCGATCGAAACGACCCTTATCATCCCTTATCCTGTTTCCCAAATGGATAGCACGTTGGTGCGAGGAGTCCCACGACCTGGCCCCGACACAGCCATAGCAGCAATGCAAAAGAACAACACCAACTAAGAGAGATGCGCAAGATACACAAGCGCAAATTGCCGCCCAGTCCGGGCGATAGAAGCCAACACAGCTGGCGCACTAAAACGAGACACTCGGAAATTCAAACCGACCGGTTGTAGGTGAAGCCAACTCAATCAGGTGGACCCAACCCCAAAAGGACATGTTGATTTCACAGTTTGGCGCCCACTCCACGAGAAGTGAGGGCAACAAATAAGGGAAGTCAATGAGGAAAAGTGGTGGCAAAGAAAAGCCGGTTCCATGGCCAAGTGCATCAATGGAGTGGGGGCTTCTGAGCAGCTGCTGGACTGCGCCACTCCTTTGAACACACCAGAATTGCCGTACTTGCACACAGGGGTCGGCACCTGACCCAGAAGATCTAACTATGAACGGGTGATGTCCCAAAACCTACTTGCATCTACTTGCGCACGCAGAAGTTACCTCAGGTTGATTGAGTCCTTGTGACACGGAGCGGCTCTAAAATTGTGCTTTTGGGCGGCTTAGAAGAGGTATGCCCACGCTACGTTGGAATGGCAAAATCTTCCCCTTGGGTCGCTCACAAAAGGAATGCCTATGCTGATGCTACATTGGATTGGTCGCATCCTCAATTAAATCGTGCCTGTGGGGTAGCTCACAAAAGGTATGCCTATGCTAGGTTGGAATGGCTCCTGCCTCCTCCAAATTATACCCTTACTTATGCCTAAGCTGCTTTCGAATCTCACCTTCCTCTCTAAGTTTTACCTTGGGGTAGCTCGGAATAGAATGCTAATTACTTTGGACTGTTGCCTTCCTCTTCTAAATTCGACCTTTGGGTGGTTCACAAAAGGTAAGCCTATGCTATGTTGGAAGGGCTCCTTTCCTTGCCCCTCTAAGTTTTAGCCTTGGTTGGACCAAAGGAATGTCCCCCCTCCTCCTTCAATTGTTGTTTAAATTTTGGCCCTGGCTAACAAAAGGTATGCCTTCGCTACGGTATGCTCTATTGGAATGGCTCTTGTTGCAGGTATGCTACGTTCGATTGGCCCCTTCCTCCTAAAGGTTTTACTGTGTTTCACTATATATAAGAATATATAAGAAAAGTCGTGTGGCGTACAAAAGGTGTGCCGATGCTACGTTGGAATGGTCCCTTCCTCCTCTAAAATTTGCTCTCGGTTGGCCCACCAAAGGCATGCTCCGTTGCAATGGCATTTCTCCCTCTAAATTTGAGCCTTGGTTGGTTGGCCCATAACATGCCACGTTCAACTGGCTTCTGCCTCTTCTGAATTTCGCCCTCGGGTGGCTCACAAAAGGTATGCTACATTGGAATGGCTCCGTCCTTCTCTATATAAATGTTGCTCTCGAACCGCCGTGTTTTCACATATCTGGGATTGCCTGTGAATTCATCGAAGACCAGAATCCTTGAACGACCTGACACCTTAATGCGCTTAATGTCTTCATGGCAAACACAGCATCCTTGGACCATTGGAAGTGTGGTGCATTATGGGGAAGGTGCTTCCAACATGCGCGTTTACAAGCAGGCCGTTGTCCGCGTGTACAAGCGAGTGCTATGCCCTGCTGGACCGTAGGACCGGCGGCCTTAGGTTCAATCATGTCCAATTGGGGTGGTGCCCGGCCTGCCAACTGCTGGATCAGCGAACAACAATCGCAACTCCCCCAAAAAAGTGAAGGTGTGATGTCATGGCTTGTGTTCGATGAAGGCTGTCACGCAAACTTCACAAATAGAATCACTTAAACATACTTATATATATAAACTATAAAAGGGTTAACAAGGAATGTATGGGGGAATGTAGCGTTTGAAAGCTCTTACCTATTGTGAGTCCATGCTGCCCTGAAGCCTACTAAAAGGGAATGCAGCGTGCCAGCACAACGGCATCGTTTAAAAGTAGCCTAAGTGTGGAAAGAAATTCCAGTTCTTGCTGGCATGGTGCTCCAAGAGTTCTACGAACTCCGCCATTTTCGCCACAAGTGAGCCACTCTGCTTTCGCTCCGAACATGAGGCCATCCGCTCGACGCTTCAAAGGCCGGGAGGCGCAACGGCGCAAGAGCTTGAGGTCTTCACCACTAGAAATCAGCTCAGCTGGTGCGATGTTTTTCATTCTAACACAGTTGCGCGGCTCCTATGAGACTCATTGAGACTCGAGAATGACGTCTTTGAGTGAAGGTCAAAGAGTCTTCACAGGGGATCTCCACACTGTGAGACCTCTTGAAACATATGACACTATATTGTCTCGAATCCTTTCTCATAAAGAACCAAACCAAATGAATGTGGGGCCTTCATTTCTTGGAGTACTCTTTGGCCAAGTCATCAAAGTCTACCCGTTTACCGTCGCGGAAGACAACCGGCTTGTACTCACCTGGCGGTGGCAAATTTGGCAGCACCATACAATGTGCAAGAATTTAGAGGCTCTGGCTGAGTCAACCTATCTTGACGACCATTGTCAATTGCAAACACCGGGCAGGAGGCACCATTGTTAAAGTGCAAAACTGCTTTCTTCGTGAGCTGTTGCACATTCCTGGCTACTCTGAAGTGCTGGTGTGCCATGTTGACAGAAATGTACCGCTTTCAATGTCGGTTATTAAGTATGTCCTGGCCAAACCTTGGACATGGGCTGGATTGACCGTCGCAATTTTTTGGCCTCGTAGACACGGATAGATGTCACCAAAGTGCGGTCTCTTTCCACCTTCTGAGCTTGCCACTGTTGTGATTCCTGAAGCGATAGCCCTCAGCATTTCAGTTTCTTGTTTCGTGGAAAAATGATCAAGCTCTCTCGGATATTCCGCATGTCAACGTTTCATGTTGTCAGAACAAATCGTCCACTATACAGTATTACACATATGCCAGCCGCAAAGGCACCTCAAAGTGCTGTGAAAAGCGGGACATGTCCGCAGGGTCCAAGAAATTGATGAAGGCATACCCTCAGTCAGATTGGGCACATCGTGTTGAAGAAAGGCTGCATTTTAGAAGGCCTATGTTTCGTTCGAGCACCAGGTGGAGTCTACACTGGATCGGCTGCACTAGGGCAGGATTCAAAAGGACAGAATAGGAGAGCTGCCAACATTTGTCTTGTTCCGGACATCCATTGGCACATAGAAGAAGTCGTACCTCCACACGACAAATCTTGGGCATTCTTAGGCATGCCAAAGAGCAACTTTCTTCTCAAACTCAAGCATCGGAATGCATTCAGCATCTTTTGGCAAAACATGCAAACATATATCCCTCTTGAAGGCTAATCCAACAGCAACATCATGCAGCATGCCGCACAAGCCCGAGAAACCCTCGGCGTCGATCTCTTCCAGCAAGGCTTTCTGACACGGAACACGGAAGACAAAAGTTCTGCAAACACGTGCAAAAACCAAACTCCCTCAAACATGGTTGCTTTACTTCACACATGTTCTACGAACACTCGAGCGTATAGATCTCCGTCTGCTCACGACCCAAGGAGTCAGCCGGACATGGTCCCGGTCGTGCCTGGGAAAATTTGTTCGGGATGTTTCGCAGCATCGCCTGAGATGTTTCGGCGCTGTTTCCGCCACACGTGCCACGATGCGGGTAGCGACACGTCCCAGTGACTGTTGTAGCAGGTCCTTCCTGCGCGTCTGTGGACAGGTCTGTGGCCTCAAAAACAGAGTTGGACATGGCTTGATATGGTTCGATGTAAAGTCATGGCATTCTCTGTGCAAAGCTCTGACAACAACTTCCCTGAAGTTGCCTTTGGCACACTGGTCGCATGGTATGGCTTGAACTCCTTCTTGAAGCCGGAGGCATCTTTGGCAGCTCTGCGCTTCTTGCCTCCTACTTACAGCAGCAAGGCTCTTCTTTTTGCGTCAAGAGTCAAGAGTTGCAAAGAACCCACACTTTTGAATCTTCTCCGCCCACTGGCACGCCCACTGGCACGCCGAGCTCTGTTTGTGTCCAGACCCCCTCCTCGTGGAGGCGATCGGCTTCTTGAGCGGTCCTCAGCCCGAGTGCTCGAGCGGCCCTTTCCACAGCTTACCAGCCCGAACTCACAGCTGACCGCGCTTGAACCAGGTCCAGGAAGACCTTGGCATAGCACCCGTACTTTCTGTGTGGAGAAGTTAAGCCCAGCAACAGCGGCAAAGTGAGCAAGGTTCATATAGAACCTATCCAAGTCTGACCGGACCCTCTCCTTGCTGAGTCTTGAGCCAGGGTGTGGGGGGTATCCTGGAGCATAGGCAGGATGCGGATAGGCTGGGTACGCTGCCTAGGTGTCATGGGCCTGACTGCCAGTCAGGCTAAAAACTGAGTCACTGAGCTACCCACTGGTGGCCAATACTGAGGCGGTCCTCACTTTCTGTCTGAAGGTCGTGCTTGCAGCATTGCACGTCCCTTCTGCGATGTGTACACCGTTTCAGCGAGGAACATTTCAGAATTATATATAGTAATTGTAAAATATTCTTACACAAAAGAAAAATATATTGTGTATATATATAGTACAGTCTATATTCTGCTTTATATACCTGCTTCCGGGAATCACATTTTTGCCAATCTCACCACGGCTGCAGTTTGTGCAACAGAGAACTCCCTGCAAGAACTGTCAATCCAGGAGGAAAATTAGGACAATTGCTAGGAGGTGGACGCAAACCCCTTGTTTGCCCCGAAGGTTTGACCATGTTGGCAATGCTTCTGCTGGGTCGAAAGTGCATTGTGCTCGCATCTTTGGGAATTCACCAAAGGAGTACCTTCAAACGTCAAACCCTTCTCTTTTCTGCCGGGTGCGCAACGGTTCTTTCTTGTAGAATGCCAGTTTGTGCACTGGGGATTTGGCTGTCGGTGAAAACCAGGATACCTTGGTTGACCTTGACCTAGCGGGAAGGTGAAGCTACAGGTGGACGGCTTCAGGTTTTGACGGGGATGTCACTAAACCTACTTCCGCCACCTCATGCAACCCAAACACACACGCAATATTGTGCTTGAGGCTTATGCATGGCAAAGACCTCCGACATTATACCCGCCTTCTGAAGCGAAGAGACGTTTTGTCATAGATGCAAGACATGTTCGAACCCTCAAAACAACTGTCAAGTTTGAGGTAGGCCGAGTGGACACCCACTGAAACTTGGGGGCAGGTGGACAACTTCCGCCACCCACGCGTGGGCACAAGGCGGCGCACCCAGTGGCCGGAAACTCGCTCAGGCACAGGCTGTAAGCAACTGGAGGAGCCTGAACTCTCTCTCTCTGTGCCCATCTCTGCATGTTTCGTCCACTAGGCAGGTCTCTCATGGTCTCTCCGCGTTTTGAGTTTCTCACCTGCCGGTGCTCCCAACAGGGCAAACAATACCTTGAAGACTTGTCATAAACTGGAGGCTTGCATCTTTCGAACTCTCCACCTCAGCTCCTCACCAGTAGTCCACAGCTTGGTCTACGTGTCCCTCATCTCGTAGCCTGAGCTCGTCACCGACTTGATGATTCAGTGTTCAAGTGAACCTTCCCCCTTGCGAAGGTTGACATGCATATTCGGTAATCGCAAGCCGTTCAAGCTTTGAGTCTTGGTTTTGGACACTTTGCACAGCGCACATCGTCGCCTCCTACAAACCATGGGAGCATCGGCTGCAGTTTCTTCGCTGGTGCTAGTGCTATCGATGAAAAACGACTATAGACACGGATGAATGCAATAGGCTGCTTAGAAATTGAGTTGTTGCGCACAAAAAACCCAACTCAACACCTCTGAAGCCAGGACTGGTAAACCAAGGCGTAAATTCTGTTTGTACGTCACTGACTACTGTGCTACGATTGTGCTACGTGTAGCCCCAAATATCGGAGAAGGCCCATACTCATTCTGCGTACCTATAGTGCGTTCGAGTGCGACATGCACCGGACAGTTGCCAAGGTGTGCCTTCCACAAAAGGTAAGCCAGCAATCCTGCCAATAAAGCCAGAAAATGCCACAACCACATTTCAACCAGTTCCAGCCGGATTCACTTGGATGAAATGATGCCACCTTGCCTCACAATACCAGTACAGGCCGCTCTCTGCATCGCGATGCCCATATTCCTGGTCGACTCAATCATGCCACGTCCATAGCAGTGATGGTCTGAGTGTGCAACTCCTCTTCAAGCCATGTAGCTTCACACAGCAAATGGAAGAGCACGATTCATTTGTTCACCAATAACCTCACGTACCATACCCTTGTGCTGCCCTAATGCACCCCAACTCCTACCCGGACCCATGCCCTCCTTATGCAGTCTGCATCGGGTGCAGGTCCCAGGCATCTTGACCTTTCTGTTGCCAGAGCTGAGAAAGAAGCTTTGCATTGGTGGCGTCACAGTGGGCACCCTGCCTACATCGGCGCATGATGAGCCTACCCTAACTATCACTTGAAGAGCTTGATCAACAAAGTACGAGTACGAGTAGCAATAGCCATGCATGCCCAAGCCATGTGGAATTGTTTCCAGGTTCAAGAATACTTGGCAGGTGGTCTTTGAGTGGCCTTTTCTGGCTGAGCTCTGTTTGTCAATGTGTTACTGTGTATGAATGTTTTGGACCACACTGCTTGAAGCAAAGTGTCATGACCTTTTTCGCCTCCTTGCTATTGCCATGAAGGCCACGGCCATGTTTTTGGACCTCTGAGAAGCAAAGTTCAGCAGCTTGGTGCAGTCAGCAGTCAGCAACGACCCGAGGCCAGTGGCCTTGAGACGGAGTGGGCACAGCACCGATTGCCATACGCCTTGCACTGGCGAGTGATCAGATGGGACGAGTGACCGCTGCTTTTCGATCAAAAAAACTCGTTCTGATCCAAATTTAGTTCGTCTCAAAAAAACAGGTCTGGGACCGCATTCCTGACCTGACAAAGGTCGGATCATCGAAACCCAAAGACTGTGGTCTAACCACCCACTATCCAACTTGTTCAGCACTGGGAACAGTGGAGTGCTATTTCATGCGATGTCAGCGGATGTCTCTAACTAGCTCCGCAATGACAAAGTGTACGGTACTTCGATTCAAGCGCTGCTGCTCCACCTCTGTGAACTGCTTCGTTGACCTGAATTGTTTCGTTCACCCCCTGTGTTTCTGACAAGCATGCCACATGTGTCACTGGGGAGTCCGGGGAGTCCTCTTCTGACTGTCAGACTGTCAGATTGTCCCAGTCATGTTTGGAGTGCTTGGAATTTTATATAGCAATAGTTTATACTTATATATGCAGTATGACTTGATATCATATGACTTGTAACATCTTGTAATTTGTATGGAATTGGAGCTCTTTCTTGGTGACTTTGGATGATCACTGTTTTGGCCGCCGGACTTTGAGGTCGCCTGGCAGAAAAACACTCTTGAGCCATTCTTAAAATTTGGGTCTTTGGCCTCGGACGAGGGTAGTAAGAAACGCCCGGCACAGCCTGAACCGTGAGGGTGCATGGTTTGAAAAAAGCAGGGAAAGCAGCTAAGGATGGCAGGGTCAACCTGCATAGATACCATACAAAGCCATAGCTTCTGAGATGCCGCACATCTGATTTCACGAGTTCCAAGGTTTTGGGCCCGACCTGAATGTAGCTCAAAGTTCCCAGACTCTAGAAGCCGAGTCAGGTAAGCACAAGAACTGCTTGGCTCAATGTCCAAGAATTCATCTCAACAATAGCTCTTCTGCTGATGCGTCAGCCAAGGTATGAATTCGCCCTCTGGAAAGGCACGCGGACTCTGAGCTTTATTGTGTTGATTGTCAAGCAATCGGGTGCAATCAGCCAATTTCTGTGACTCGCTTGCACTTGCCAAGCATACCTTTGAAAGAATGTAATTTTCCAATGTACGCCACTGCTGTTTTACAGCAAACGGCTGCCACGTGCAAGATCGCCGAACGAAACTTGGCGATTCAAGCGATAGTTGCCATTGAAATTGTCGGTCAAATGCGCCAATCTCATCATAGCTCAATGCAGGAAATGTCCTTAATAAAGCTCAAGTGAGGTTGTGTAAAGACCCACGTCATCGTTCTTTTTTCTTATCGTTTTACAGGGGATTGAGCATGCTTCCAGACAAACGGACATGCGACAAATTACTAATTTCTTACAAGTATAATACTCTCTCAAGTGTCAACATCATGGTGTCGTCTGTATACCTACTCGTATCGTTTCAGATCCAAGTGACCTCAGAGTTTCTGAAGGTGTTCGCCCGTGGTCTTGTTGGTGGATTGGTTCCTGCATCGAAGCCTCCTCCAAGGTGAACGTGCTATGAAGGACAAACCGTTTAAATTCTAAATGATCTTGACCTGACTTGTCCAACCAGAATAACGTAAGATTGTTCAACCATGTTGAACCCCCCTTTCAACCTCAACTTGAAGCTCCGTCAGTCCTGGCCCTTCCAATGTAGATGCTCTCAACCGGGGGATGACATCATCTCCCACAATCGTTGTGGGGACCTCGCTCTCGTCGTCATTCTCAATCTGAGCAATTGCTGGAGTTGAGTAATGACTCCGCAAGCTGGCAAAAAGGAAGGAAGAAGAGAACGGCTGGAGTTAGACACAGTTGAGGGCCTTATCCAACCAACAGGGAGGCGAGGAGTGAATGGTATGGGGTTTCTCCGACGTGTCCTGTTTCTTGAATCGGCAGTCAATGCTGTCCAACTTTTCTGTTGGATCTGTTGGCCAAATGAGTCAGACGTGATGTCAGGTGTAAAGTTGCAGTACGATCGCGGTTTTTGAGGTGGTCGCATAAACAGGATGTTTTAAGAACACAAACACTTAACAACCAGGCAAAGAAAACCAAACAGCTGCTTTCGATCGCTGTCGTGAGATTGGCAGGATAAGCATACTTGCTCGAATGTTGGTCAGTGTGTCAGTGTCATGTACCGATGGACTCTTTGCACGGAGTTAACTTGATGGAAAGTTCTCGGGCGGTCACGGAAGCGAACGAGATTGAATGAGTGTGTGAAAGAGATCGATGGAACAGTTACCAAAGAAGCTCTACTCAGTGCCTGATTCAGTTCTTTCCAATAACTTGCCGCATCTTGCCGCCTTTGCTCATCCCTCAATCTGACACACAAGCCCGCCTCTGCAGAGAAAGCCGTGGGCTGGGGCACCGGAGGCCGCCATGGGGAGAAGCGAAAGAAATCATTGTCGATCATCCTTGGCAAACCATTAAGACCCATCATACAGCACCATCACCTCTTCAAAATGCGACCGTCTATATTAAAATTGAGGGGCGCGACCTCAGCCCCCGACGACATAGCTGGAAAGCACTGCTTACAGCTTGCTGTAAAAACAGTCCCGATTCTATAAGGAAAGTGTTCTCTCTCTCTCTCTATGTACATATATGGTACATATATATATATAATAGTTGTTTAATATACACATTGACATGTAGATACATAAAATAAGTCAGACAATTAAAGGGTCACCCCCGCCACCAAACCAAGCAACTCCCGGAAGGGGTTCAGTGCCGTCACCTTCAGCTTTGCGATCTCCTGTGCCACCGGGCTGGTCGAGAACCGCCTTTGAGTCTAGGATGTCTCGCTACAGTGCTCTCTGTGTGAAGTGCATTCACAAGTAAACAGCAATCGTTTCTCAATGTTTCTCATTAAACCCAATCCTGTGCTGACACGGTGCGGCTTCCCAACACTTGGGCGGTGTTTGCACGGTGCATCACATGCATGCACAGGCCCTCTTCATCCTGAGATCAGGCAAGCTGGGAGAACACCTCGCACAACAAAGGAGCTGTGGTTTAGATATTTCAGATCATTTCGTCATCTTGAGTCAAAGGACAAAAGCCCTAAGTTCAAGGGCATGACAAAATGAGCTGTCCATGTCCAATTCAATGTGGAAGTTGAAACATGCCCTCGTCAAACACACACACACACACAAGCCCTGACAACCCCACCCCATCCTTGTAGAGTTGGACCTTGTCCTTGCCGAACATATCTCGCAGCTTGAGAAAGAAGGGAGCATCTTCAGCAAAGCCCACATTGGGATAGCAAAAAAGTAGGGACAGAGTTCTCCTGTGAGAGTAGCTGAAACCATAGCCGTACAAGATCTCATCCAGCTCCTGCTGATCGTCCGCCCATTCTTCCCAGCTCTCAGGATCCTCAGAAGACTCAAGAGACCTCTGAAAAAGAAGGAACACCTTTTTGACCCACCCAGAAATTGCAAAAAGGTAAACAGCTGCACAACATCAAAGAGCTACTCTTCAGCGCCAAAGAGTCGGAAAAGGTGCACACACCTTTGCCTCGTGGCTCAAACGAAACAGGGTGAAACACAAACACAAGGGGGACGGCAAGTAGAACACAAAAAGAACACACTTGAGGCCAGAGGGGGTGAACGAAAGCTAGCTAGGGGTGAACAAGAGTCTGGTCATCAGGGATGGGCGCTGCTGCGCTGGGTGCTCTGCTGGCGCCGGGTCGTCTGCTG